CATCCTTTAAGAATTAATTAATCGAAGCTTTTCTAAATAGTTTGCCCAAAATAAAATAAGTTGACATTATCTTGTTTAATCTCTGTGTTTACCTCGACGTCATGCCGCCGTGAGGTAGAGAAGGTACGCGGTTGGGGGTTGTGTTGACACCGCGGCCGCCGTTGAAGGTTGAAGCTTTCGTGGTGTGACTGCTTTGACTACTCTGTCTCATGAACGCAGCTTTTGGTCATTTTCGCGTGTAGATATATCTCTCCCTCGTTCTTGTCGTCGTCGTTCGCGTTGATTTGAAGGGTCTTGCGATTTTTTGTTTTTTGGGATTCTTTGTGGCTCTGATTCAACTCGGTATACGTCAATAAACACGTCATGCCTCTAAATCCGTTGGCCGGAACACAGTAACCCTAAATAAAATTACACTTTGCAGGGAGAGAGAGAGAGAGAGAGAGAGAGAGGCAGAATAGGACGACATGACGATGGCTTTCGACAGGTCTATCTATTACGGACAGGCTGGCCTGGTTATTAACATCATGCCATTGCCGGGGCTTGGCTTGGGCACAAAAGGCATTTACTTACCGGATCGACATTGCTCGACGGACGACCAAACCTTCGGGTTGGTGTGTCGGTGGGCGCAACGCATCGCACCGCGTTGACGCGGCCACCGCCAAAGGTCGAAGCTTTCGCGTACCGGCGGATGAACGGGTCGTTTGCGAGCGGTTCTCTCTCCAGCCTCGCGTCCCAACCACGCGAGCTGCATTAAATCGAAGGGGCCCTTGTAATTTATTATTATATATATTTAAGATGCTTCATCATGTCTCTACTCGCTTCTAATGTCAGACAGACATCAAGAGTCGCACCGTGTGCCTGCCGCACCTTTACGCCCTTTCGCTGGTGCCTCATTAGTGTGTCAAGAGTCGAGTCGTGGCTTTAAGTCGGAACATCTTAACAAGAATGCAACACTAGTTTTCGAGAGGAAGGAAGACGTAGCATAGGCTCATTGCGATAATACAATAATAACAATAAGAATGATTCATTGTGAGAATGACTTTTATCTCAGAACTTTCAAAGTGAATTAAAAGAGTGCAGTTAGCATCGCGACCAAGCATATTGGTTCATTCAAGATCCTAACCTTTGCTTAGGACTCGGGATTAGGGTGAATATTTCATTCTAACCCTGACGAAGTTTCATTCGATCGAGATTCGATCGAGACATATGTTCTAGAGGAAGTCGACGAAGTCCATCGATCCTTTGTGTACGTGTAAAGCCTGACGGGGTCAACAACAAAGAGATGGTTGAGCTTACGAGTGGCTTTTTCAGTACATAAACATAAGATACAAACTCTCATGTCTTTTATTTAGGACAGACTCGTCATGTTTTATATCATCGTGACGCCATCATTAAAAGCAATAGTATTTTGGCACAGAAAGATAGATACCCTATTCACAAGGTCAGAAGAGTTGAAGGCCACCGTGAGTCAAAGTCTGTCATTCCAACTGCTGCGAAAAACTTGGGTTCCACATCAATCAACACAAGTTGCAATATGCCAGTGTTGAACGATGTAACAGTATCTGACTTTAGATCATTTGTACGAACACGGAAGAATTACGACCTACATGAAACAGTATATATATAGTGAAGTTTGTGCCTATACTTAAAACTATAGCATGCACCTGAAGCCGGCAATTCCACTATGAACAATTTGCTGACATGTAGAATTGCACATAATATACCATACAAGCAAAACCATATAATATTTGCCACAATCACAGGCAGTCAAACACCTATTTAGATATGTAACGATAACCAAATAAATAATATCTGTAGCAAGTTGTTGATGCCAACTGCATTTACAGGCAAGCAAGTACCAAACATCCAGTGAACTCTCTCCACCAATATCAATTACAAATTTAGGTTAGTAGTGTTCATAAAATACGATGTGCAAGTGTAAGTAGACAAGCAAAGATTTATAACCCCATATTTACAACTCTGCATCACTTTGAACTCACTTCGATATAGCAAAGCAAAAATAATGCATTTGGCAGATGCATTCTGGACTAAGATTTACTTGAGCTGAAGAAGCAGTCTGGGTCACATCATTTGTTATGTTATGTAATCAGTGCCTAAGATGTGTAACCTTATGGGAGAGCCGGAAATTGACCATCAAGTCATGTGATGATAAATCTGTGCAATTCACTTAGCTACATATCAATAAGTAAAATTTTCAGGTCAAGTTATACACTCATAGATGATCATCATTAACCTAATAAATGCCATAAGACATTATGTAGTTAGGATTTCTAATGCAGTAGTAGATCAACTTAATGTATATAAGTTCAGGAAAATGTGTTTATCACAGATGTTCTTTTGGCTAGAATTCTAAGATCTTCAAACTATGTTATGGTACTTAAGATACAACACACTCAGTCCAGTTCCCTCTTGAAACATAAAGAATCTAATGACAGAGATGCCTAAAGAAAGTTTCCATCTGATGATAGAATGAAACTCAAGGCAAAAAGAGATTTATAGTATATGGATCCTGGATTACTGTTCCAAATGAATCTTGACAGCAGCATGGGGGGATAAACAAACAAATAGTTCAGTTATCCAAAAACTCTCTTTAATACTTCAAACTTCAAATTGCATTCGTTCAAACATAAGACCTTCTACATGCTCTGTCAGTTCAATTCTGCATGCTGATTCAGGTAACTATACTGGCAAGAGAAGAAACAATAGCCACATGTATACTTCAAGTTGTAAAAAATAACAAAATTCCCAACTTCATATCAATCTGAAGTCACACATGACTACGGGCAAAGAAAAAAATTATCTTAGAGTTCATAACTTTAGCAGAAAGGTATGGTTAGTGTTTCATATCATACTTCTCAGAGATATTTAAACCTATTCAATTTCCAACTGATGTAAGTCTAGGTGGCATTGTGTTTCCTCAATCTATTTCCAGCTTAATACATACAACAGGAATCATCATAATCAAACTAAAAAAAAAACAGTATGAACTTGATTAGAAACAAACAAAGAAGCATCAGGGTTACAACCAGTACAAACAAAAAACAATGAAGAAGATAATAATGGCCAACCAATAACTCGAAACAATTCTAGTAATATTTTATTGATCAAACTATGATTTGCAATACTGTACCATACCGCTCGGTACGGGTGGCATGTACCAGTTTGATAGAGGACCGGTACGAGCGATACATCGGTACACCTTAATGTACCATGTATCAGTACCATCGGTATAGTTCGATACATACCGTATCCGGCTGATCGGTACATTAGTACGGTATGATATTTAGAACCTTGGATCAAAGTACATATTTTCAAGCTCTAAGAGCAAACAAAAAATGTGTTATTTATGAATGAAAAATGAACTTCTGAAGGTCCCCCACAAGAAGAAAGAATCACTCAGTTGCATTCATATCTGATCCAATTAATTTACTCCTAATTATGTTATGACATGGAAAACTAAAAAAGCCAATCTTTTGGTGGGAGTTTTGATATGAAAACATATATCATCATGAACCAAAAATTAGGACTGATTTACAAACATTACCAACTAAATGAATCATAATCATGTCATATGAACCTCTACGACATAATACAGATAACTAGGGATAATCCTATCCAAAGAAGACCATTTGACCAGTTGTCATCAGAATAATTATTGATGCAATCTAAACTAGACCGAAACCATGATGAACCCAATATGCATATTTGATCTTGATATGATTCAGTCAAGTTTCTAGTAATGTTATGCCAAAGTTCCCTTTATTGTAAAGACCACAAACTCCACAAGAAGAACAGATTATTTTGCCAAATGATAAACACAATGGGTCCAAAATAAGTATCTATATTATGCATTGAACTTCTTGAGTTACATCTCCATCAAATCTCATCAATATCTGTAAACCACGTTTATCTTGAAGCATAATCAATGCAAACAAGTTCTGCAGTACATTCACATCCATGTTACTGTAGATACTTCCAGGAGTAAAATGAAATCCTAAACATGCACAATACATTGTCATAATGCCAATTATCGAGGATAGCTAGTGAGAAAATTACTATGAGACAATGTCTAGTACAATGCCTCTCCATAATTTCCAAGTCCAACCATATGGTCCTCTGAGATTTAACTTCAAAAGAACTAAGTTGGGAAGGTCCATCAGACCTCCCCTGTTATTCACACATATTCCTCCACTTTTATAGCTTGCCTTCTTTGGTGCACTAGACAATTAAGTCACAAATATGACAACTTGCTATTTATCTTTGTTTGATAGGAATTATAATGGCGTTGTTGCTAACTCAATATCCTCAGCCTGTCACTAAATACATCCATAATTTAATGATTTTCAGGAATCAAGACACAAGAACTTTTCCAAATAAATGAGTTGTGATCGGAAACGTATTCTCTTAAGCACTCAGGACACTACAAATTATTAAGCTGTGCAGTAAGACTTCAGTAACCTTCCCAAATATTAAGCTGTGGTCGGAAACATATTCTCTTAAAAGACTTACGACATTACAAATTATTAAGCTGTGCAATAAGACTCCAGTAACCTTCCCAAATATGTTTGGCGACGAAGTACTGAAAGACCATGTCCTATCGATGACAGCAGAAAGAAACAAAACAAGATTTAATACATATTGAATGTCCTTGTAGGTAAAACAAAATTGGCATTTCCCCTTATACATAAACCAAAAATACATTTCCAATACTAGTATTTCAGCTGACAGGTAAATCAAAAGGTCGCACTTGCAGTGTATTAAGCTAATACCCAGGTCTATATTGTCCAACTCTTTAAATCCCAAAATCTCTGATATGTAGAGAAGAATAATGCTAAGGAAATAACGGAAATCATGTCTGACCCCCAAAATATGTCGATGAACAATAAGGATAAACAAACTTTATGAAATACAAAGAGTTCTCTTTAACCTGCATGCGATGGAGTTCAACAAGAAGTGAAACTACAATGAACAATGATATCTCTACTTGAAATTTCAAGATTTTTTTAGAAGGTAGAAACATATGGTACACACTGTTTTTCACAAACGTTCACATGAGGACTAGGGGCATGATACTATGCACATGGTAGTCACACTTCACTTTAGTCTGCCTTTACTTAAACGACTGACTTATCATGACTTCTCTTCACGATATCACTGACAGAACAGTTATATTTGAAATAATAACGTGTGATCAACATTCCAGTTCAGTTCACCATATACATAAGAATGTTGCATGTCAATACAACTTCATCGTTAGAGAATGGAAAGAATAATTTTCAGGAACACACCAGGTCAGTGGTAAAAAGTCCTTTTTAGCATCATAGCATATCCTTTCTTTTTTCTGCCTCAATATTGCTCGAATAGGTTACCTTGCTGATCAAGTTGTTGAACACCTCCATAATTGATGGCCCAGATTGTAACTTAACTAGGTGCATCCTATAAGGTATTATTATGTTCCTCAGCCCTGCAACCAAGCAAAACAAATCATATAGCACCATTAGTTCCATTAAATTTCGCCGGCAATTGACTATAGAAAGATAATTATGTTAACATGTTTGTAATACTATCATCGTCAAAATAGGTACCATATCTGAATAGTTTTTGGTGATCTGATTGATCCAAGCTTTGACTCAAATCTACATATGCATGCCACATATTGATAACTGAGAGGACAAAAGTGACTAAGTGCTCGTACCCGTGGTGCACATAGCTCTGTACAGAACTGCAGCCGAAACACCACCGCGTTCCGTTGTCATTCTCGTCTTCTCCAGACAGTCGAGGAAGGCAAGGTCCGCCTTCAGCAGCTTGGCCTGGTCGTGTGTGTCATATCCAATATCATGGCAGTAGCAGCAGAAATCAAGCCAATCCACAGGACGCCGATCCCACAGCATCGAGCCACCGTCCTTCCCGCTCGACCAATTGGGGCCACAGTAGTGTCCGTACCGCGGGAACAGCTGCGAGAGGAACGCGCGGACGCCTCCGTGCCACGGGACCTTGGCGACATAGGGCCGAAAGAGCGGGAGGGCGCACCCGGCCTCCGATCGCGGCCGAGGCGGCGAGATCGGCCGCCGTGTTGGGGTCGCGGGGGAGGCAGCGGTGGCGGGGGGCCGGGATGGTAGAATCGAGCGGAGGGATCTCGCGAGGGAATCAACCAAGTGGAGGAAGGCGCTCTTGGGATGCGATTTCTGGGGATGGGGATGGGGAGGGGGAGGGGGACGGGACGCGATGAATTGGGGTTGGGATTCAGGGATGGAGGAAGTGGTGGCGATAGGGAGGAACCTGGTGAGAGGAGGAGCGAGGGTGCCGGAGAAACTGAGACTTATGGTTGGGGGAACAACCCATGTGGTCTTCCGCCCCATCAACTCCCGCTGCCTTCTGCTGCTTCTTCCGAACCACGAACAACTCGGTCATCAAGCCACCTTGAACCACACGCCGTCGAGAGAAACCGGCGTTATACACGCAGACGACTCGAAACATTTTGATGTGCGTCTACACCCAAAACTGTGGGGTTTCGGAAGCGCATATCCACAGATTAGGAACCGGAAGACAGAGAGAGAGAGACAGAGACAGTTCGGCGTTCTCACGGTTCCCTTAATGCGATTGAGGGCAGTGGCGGGACCGTGTGGGATCCATCAGTGGTCCCATTCGCTGCCTCCAACCACAAGGCGGGTAGCTTCCGGATAAGTTTACGTGCTTTTTCCAGAAGAAGATATAAATAAGGTCAATTATCCAGCGCCACGTGGAATTACAAATTAGGTAATTCTTCTGGTTACTTCATTAATATATATATATATATATATATATATATATATATATATATATATATATATATATATATATATATATATATATATATATATAT